CCCTGCCCTGCGCAAGCCCGTTGAGAGTCACCGTCTCAGTCCATCTCATTGGGGGGTTTCCCCCTCTTCTTCCGATGCTCCACTCTCCCAACCTGAGATCTCCCTCCAAGGACTGTGTCACCCTGAAAAGGTGCCCAAGTTAAGTGAGACGACATTTTACCGTCCTCGCACCTAAGAGGCACCTTGGTTGTACTTCCTCCCAGACAGACTTGTCTTTTCTTCTGTCAGTCCACAGCTACTCAAAGCTCTTCACCAACAAGATAACTCGAAGGCATGGGCTCTGCATTCTTCCTTTCCAACTTTCAGATCACAGGAAGCAACCAAAACTACCCCAGCTTGGGTCAGACACACCTTGATACTCAAACTGCCATCTGTGCCCTTTGGCGCTTTGGTGACGTCCCTGACAGCAAACTCCCCCCAGGCAACACAGAGAACACAGGTAACTCCATGTTTACCTGGCTGACCAGGTAACGGGACAGCACCTTCAGGCCTTGGCTGGAAACAGAGCCGGGAAAGGATGGTGTGTCGTCTGAGAGGAGCAGGGAGGCTGACGTGGCTAAGGTGTGGGGGCTTTGGCTTCACTGTGGAGTTCGCACAGCACGGCTTCTCCTGGGAACACATGCTAAAGCCTGCAGGTACATGCCTCTGAGAATGGGGTTGCTGTGGGCTGTACTCCCTAAAAAGGTGTGAATCCTCACCTGCGCCTCTGATCTCCTTTGTGCTGCTGGTCACGTCAAATGATTGTTTTTAGAAAACATCAAGTCGGAACCGACTCATGGCTGACCTTCCAGAGGGTTTTAAGAGGCAAGAAAGAGCAAGGGTGAAACACCTGCCATGCATCTGAGGCTGACAGTGAAGAAGGGCGACAGTAACCGGTGCCTTTGAGCTGTGGTGTTGGAGAAGGGCACTGCACATCCTGTGGACGGACAAACGAACAAACAGTTCTGCAGAGGGTGCAGCCGGAGTGCTCCCTGGAGGCAAGGATGAGGCTTTGTTCCACTTGCTTTGGGCGTGTTGCTGAGAGGCTACTCCTTGGAGAGGGACATGCTGCTTGGGAAGGTGGAAGGTCGGCAAAGGAGAGGAAGACTCTCGACCACATGGATTGACACAGTGATTGCAGCCCAGGGACTGTGAGGGCGGCCCAGGCGAGGCCAGGGTTTGGCTCTGTTCTCCATGGCGCTGCAATCACTGCGCTGCTATCATGGCGTTGCTGTGAGTTGTACCCGACTTGCTGGCCCCGAGACACCACATCAAACAGCCTGGGAGAAGACTGCTCGATGTGTCCTCGGGGAGCAGCTGGTGGATTTGAACCCCTTGCCTATGAAGTAGCAACACAGCTCCCCACACTGAGCCACCAGAGCTGCCACTTCTGTGAGGTGCTGCAAAGTCACACCTGAGTCACAGTCACACTGCGTACAGCGGACAAACCCCGGCACCTCCAGGGCCAGCCTCACCGGATCGAGCCCAGGCCTGGCGGGGAGGGGTGCCCTCCCCCGAGTCAATCCGGGCTATAACCAGCACAGATGAGACTCAAGCCAAAACACAGGAAGGGAGGGCCGAGGAGGCCACCCCGAACCCCAGCACAGGAGCTGCCAGGCACGCGGCGTCCGCCAAGCCGGCGACAGAGAGCCAGGCGCCCTCCTCTAAAGCCACATCCTCGGGTTGGCCCTCTACCTCCCAGCTGGGTGAAAATAGAGTTCCGTTCTCTCCAGCCTCCCACGGGGAGTATTTCTGTGTCAGCAGCACTAGAAAATGCAGACAGGGCTCTCGGCAAAGTTGCACATCATATGTTTTGGGGGGAACAAGTCCTTTAGAAGCAGAGTTTTAATAGAAGCCATGTAAAGATTTTGCAGGGTGGTACATTCCTCTAGTTAGACTGCAAGGAAGCTGCCTATTTACTATTTCACAGCAGGGGATGGAGAACCATGGCCCTCAGGCCAAGCCTGGCCACTCCCTGGTTTTGTAAATAAAGTTTTATTGGAAGAAGCCACCCTGTCTGCTCACAGACTGCCCATGGCCCCCTGCTCTGAAAAGATTTCTGTCCTGGGGCAAATATTTGCCCTTTCAGGGGAAGAACTGTCAAGTCCTGTTCGTGACCATCACGGTCCTTGTTCTTCAAGCTTTTGCTTTAGAAACCTGCTCACGAGCTCATATCAGGTGGCTGGAGACTCAGGTCTGACACATCTTGGATGGCTTTAGCCTGGAAGTCAGCTCCCCTCATTAACCCCCCACACTCTGTCTACTTGGGCCTCTCCAGGACCACTGGTGTGCTTGTGTCCACTGTCACGGCCACTGTGAGTTTCTGTTGTCACCCAGTAAAGGCACGTGATCACCAGACCAGGGCCAATTAAGACACACAGATGTAAACAGACGGCACAGAAGGAGCAGGGCCGCCTCACAATCTGTGAGACGCTTGATCCTTCTGCACTGAAACGACATCATGTCACGATCCACATCCCATGACGCAGGGCCACAGGCACGAGCAGAGGGTCTACAAAAACAGCGGCTCTAAAACAACTATGAGATATCATGTCACCACAGTCAAAATAGCAAAATTTAACAGAACAGCAAGCAACAAATGCTGGAGAGGTTGTGGAGAAACTGGAACCCGTATTCACTGTTGGTGGGAGTGTAAAACGGTGCAACCACTGTGGAAGGCGGTATGGCGCTTTCTCAAAAAGTTGCAGATAGAGATACCATTTGAACCAGCAATTCCACTACTGGGAATATACCCCAAAGAGACCATAACTGACATCTGAGCAGATATATGCACACCCATGTTTATCATGGCTTTGTTCACAACAGCAAGGAGTTGGAAACAACCTAAGTGCCCATCAACAAATGAATGGATAGAGAAGCTGTGGTATATTCACACAATGGAATACAAT